CGATGCCCGGCATGGGAGGGAACAGGAGCACACTAAGCCCACGGGAGCCCCGAGAAGCCCGTCGGCACGTGGAGTTTGCGACGACAAGTGGTGAAAACGCCATGATGGCCCCAATGCCACTCAAGCCGCAACGCCCGCCCTGCTTCGACCCAAGCCAACGCGGCGGCCCGACAGTTCAATCATGGGTCTTCACGATGAATGTGTTTTTTCGACGCCAACTACGTCGAGTCGGACGCCGCCAAGATTCGGTATGCGGTTTCACTACTCAGGGGCCCCGCCATGGACTGGTGGCGAGTCATCGTGACGTCGCCACGCGCCTACGAGCCACCGCCGCACGAGGAAGGGCCCTCGGGTCCAGCTGTCACCTGGAGTTCGTTCTGCGAAACAGCCCAATACAGCACGTGGGATGCGTGGTGCGCAGGGCTTCGGGCGCGTTTTGAGCCGATCGCGGCTTCGATTTCGGCGCGTCAGAAACTGCGCACTTGGCGCCAGCTCGGGTCGGTTCAAGACTACACCAGCGGTTTTCTCGCACTTTGCGAACAGGTCGGCTACATGCACGAGGCGGAGCGGGTGGACCGTTACGTCGGAGGGCTGAAGCCGGACATATCGCACGAGATAATGCTACGCGGGCTATCGAATTTCAACGAAATCCTCGCGCTCGCCGAGAAAATCGATATCCTACGCCGACCGAGACCGGGGTCCTATTTCGGACATCGCCCTCGGGGACCGATCGAGCACGCCACTGTACATGCCGTCGCAACGAATGCAGCTGCCACGCCATTTAGAGGGCGCTGCTTTGCTTGCAACCGGCCGGGCCATCGCAAGAGCGAATGTCCAGAGGAGCTGAGGCGTCGAGGAGCAGAGCAGGGGAAGGAGTCTCAGAGGCAGGGAAACGCCAGCAGTCAGTAGAAGTTGGGCCAACTACTGACGAGACTGCCTGCTCGCCCAACCACACCGACCCTCACCGAGTCACAGTACCGATTCACGCCATCGATCGGGCTCGGATGAATAAGGAGGGTACAGCGACGGATTGCCCGGTACTGATCTACGGGAAAATACAGGGAGCAGCAGTGAAAATCTTCATTGACGGAGGAGCAAGTCACAGCTTAGTTAATACTGCAACCGCACGGAAATTACAGTTAACACTTAACCGATGTTTACCTGAGATAGATGCACGCTTAGTCGACGGCACGCCATTGGCCATACGAGAAAAAGTGGAGCGAGTAAAAGTCCGCTGCGGGGGAAACTTCGGGTTTACACAGGAAATGCTCGCAACGACGCTGGATGGGCACGACATTTTACTGGGACGTGATTGGCTGCGACGGTACAACCCACGGATCGACTGGACGACGGGGAGCTGCACAGTGCGAAGTAGCGGTAACTGGGTCGTCCTACCTCGCTGGCGGCCACCCGAATCTTCGACAGTCCAGGTCAACGCCATCGCGATGAAACGAGCTGTCGCTGCTGGAGCTGACGTGTACGCAGTGGATATCGCAGTGGTAGAAAAAGACGAGCAGCAGAACGATTTTCAGAAACTGCTAGCAGCCGTACCGACCGAATTACAAGCACTACTGAAACGGTTCCCGGGGATATTTCCGGATGATTTACCACAGGGACTGCCACCTCAGCGAGTGCACGACCATAGGATCGAGCTAGAACCGGGGGCACAGCCAACAGTACAGCGGCAATTTCGACTGACACAGCCCGAGCTCGACGAGTTAAGGAAGCAGTTAGATTACCTGTTAGAGAAGCAGTTTATTCGACCGAGCTCGTCACCGTTCGCCGCACCCATACTGTTCACACCGAAAAAAGACGGAGGTTTTCGCATGTGCATCGACTACCGAGCGCTTAACCGAGTAACAATCAAATCGCGATACCCCATCCCCCGCGCCGACGAACTCATTGACCAACTGCGAACAGCACGTGTCTTTTCGAAAATAGATTTACGGGGAGGTTACCATCAGATTCGGGTCGAACCATCGGATTGCGCAAAAACAGCATTTAGGACTAGGTACGGGTCATTCGAGTATACAGTAATGCCTTTCGGATTGACGAACGCGCCTGCGACTTTTCAGATGACCATGAACGAGGCGTTTAGACCACTTTTAGATAGATGCGTGATCGTTTACCTCGACGATATCCTCGTTTACAGTCGGGATAAGCAGCAACACTTAGCAGATCTCGAAGCAGTTTTTAAGGTTTTAGAGGAACATCGGCTGCTCACCAAGGGCTCCAAGTGCGAGTTTTTTAGGGATAGGCTAGAGTTTTTAGGTCACGTCATTTCCGAGGCTGGAGTTGAGATCGACCCAAAGAAGCTGGATACGGTAAAAGCGTGGCGCCCCCCGACAAACATCACGGAACTGCAGAGTTTTTTAGGGTTTGTTAATTACGTTCGACGGTTCGTGCCCGACATGGCACGTTTAACAGCCCCACTAACTGATTTACTGCGTAAGGGGGTCGCTTTTACGTGGGGGGAGAAAGAGCATGCTGCCTTCTCTGCCCTAAAAAACGTCCTCTGTTCACCACCCGTTCTACGTATCGCTGATCCCCACCGCCCTTTCGAAGTGGTTACCGACGCAAGTGACATCGCCATCGGAGCTGTACTGTTACAGGACTTCGGCAACGGCCTCCAACCCATCGCCTACGAATCACGCAAACTACATCCGCCTGAGCGAAATTACCCGATACACGACCGCGAAATGCTCGCGATCGTGCATGCATTCAAAGTTTGGCGCTGCTACTTGACTGGCGCAGACGTGACAGTACGGACAGACCACCGATCTCTACAGTACCTCCGCGCACAGCCCCACCTCAACCCACGACAGATTCGATGGCTCGATTTCCTCGAGTCGAATTTTCACTATACGGTCACATACAAAAAAGGAGCATCGAATATCGCCGACGCACTGACCCGCCCCACTGCCCAGATCCACGCGATACTACTCGCCCAGACCAGCCCACTGCTTACCGGCCTATTTACCCACGGATATCAAACAGACTCGTTCTTTACAGGAGGCAACTCACAGCAATTCGCAGCGGCAAAAGGAGTCTATTACGTAAAAACTGGAACCGACCGCATCTGGGTACCGGGACACACGCTACTGCGGGAACTACTGTTACAGGAAGCACACGATGGAGTTACCTCGGGACATTTCGGGGTAGAAAAAACACGGCAGCAGCTGCAGCGGTACTACTACTGGCCAGAAATGTTGACCGATGTGCAACGACATGTGGCATCGTGTCCCACTTGCCAGCTCATGAAGTCAAGCAGGAAGCGACCAGCGGGGCAATTACAACCCATCCCGCCTCCAGAGCGTGCTTGGCAGCAGGTGACGATGGACTTCGTCACGGGGTTACCAGCTGGGGCGAGTGGGAATGACGCGATCCTGGTCGTCGTCGATCGACTAACGAAAATGGCTCATTTCGCAGCATGCAGGAAATCCATCACAGCCGAAGAAACCGCCCGACTATTCATCTCCACCGTCGTACGACTGCACGGGATACCCGCGTCGATCATCAGCGACAGGGACACGAAATTTACCAGCAACTTCTGGCGGAACCTGTGGCAGCAGTTCGGCACACGCTTACAGTTCAGTTCATCCTATCACCCCGAAACCGACGGACAGACGGAACGAACAAATCAGACCATGGAGCAGCTGATTCGAGCCACGTGCGACGACCCGAATACGTGGGAACAGCAGCTGCCACTTATCGAGTTCGCATACAATAACGCACCATCAGCCACGACGCAACAGTCGCCGTTTTATCTAAATTACGGACAGGACCCAACAGTACCCATGACACCGAATCCCGACAACCCCGTCCCACGAGCACAACAGTTCGCCGAGATTCTGCAGGCAGCACGGACCAGGGCAGCAGAAGCAATAAAAAAATCAAACATCATCGCTAAACGCAACGCCGATCGACATCGCCGACCCGTTACTTATCAGCCCGACGACCTCGTTTTACTCGACACTCAGAACCTTCGCCTGCCCATCACTCCAAAACTTCGCCCCCGATATTGTGGGCCATTTCGCATCAGCCACATGATCACACCAGTTACCGCCCACCTCCTCCTCCCCGCTGACTGGTACGTCAGCCCGTCATTCCACGTCAGCCTACTTCGCCCTTACATCCCATCCACGAGCCAACTGCCACGACATCGCCCAGCCAGCATGACACGTCCCCCAACCGAACCACTCATCACCCCTGACAAAATCCTCAGCCACCGCGTCCGCGACCCTCGGGGAGCCCGAAGGATCGAGTTCCTAATTCGCTGGAAGGACCGAACGGCCACAGAAGACAACTGGGTCCCCATGGATAAAATTGAGAACCACCCTGTCTTCACCGAGTATCTGCGAAGCCGAAATTTCCGCGACGTCCATGCGCTCTCGTAAGAGGGGCCTCCTTGGGGAGGGGGGTAGTGTAAGGAAATTCCCTTTTCCTTACTTCGCGTCCCTGCCCAGCGCGTACGTCACTGTAGCACCTCAGTCAGCACCGTTACCACTCGCGACCATCGCATCATTCATCATCCCGCCTTTTTTCGCACATCGCATCCCGACCTCACGGCTCGGCTGGTAACCCGCGCTCCGGGCCTACGCTTCGACACTTTCCCAACCTCAGTCTCAGGCTCGACGCGCGACAACCACAGTCCATTACCGTTACCACTATTGTTTCGCTATATACTCCTTCGCTCATGCCTTCGCTCATTGTACTTTTGCTTCGATAGTGCAATTCTCGTTCGTTCACTCAATTGCACACGTAACATTAGCACAGTACTCGACACTGCTTTACCTAGTAGTATTTACCTATTTGCACTTCGCGTTTCTCCAAAAGAAATGCACGTATCACCTTGAAGTGATAGAAGTGCATTTCGGGAACAAATGCAGAAACGGAGGCTTGCATGATGCGTTTGGTACATGTTTTAGCTTACGACTAACAACACCCATGTTTGACCACACACTTCATGTCTGCTTATGCGGCTTGAACACGAAAATACCTCACTTTCGTCTGCTTTGCTGCTCCCTTCCTGGACGTAGCAATCCATGTTGATCTTCAAAATCATCAATATCTTCCGTGTGTGCTGCAGCTCGCCGTGCATGCAAGCTTTCAAATATACTGTCCAGATCAGGAGCAGTCTCTTGTGTCACGCCACCTCCACTTCGTCCAGTTGTATCCACACCCCCGTCATCTTTACTGTGTGGACGTGGGCTTCCTAGAATGTCCCTCAGCCTGCCCATTGTGCTGCTGGATGAGGCATCACGCAGGCGGGATGTGACTGCCTGAGACCAGCGCGACTCAAGCAGTGTTTGCGACCAATGGCCGCTGCTGCCAGGGATGGTCCCTCCTGAACCAGCACCTGCTGCTGCTCCTCTTTGGCCCGAGATTAGTGGGGACTGTGTAGGAGACATACCCGCTGCATGACTGCTCCCTTGATGGGTGCCTGATTCTAGCTGCTCTGCTCCACCTGCTACCGTTGCTGCTGTGGCCTGCCCGGCCCAGAAGTACCGTTGTGGCGTTGAAACCATTGCGGCCGAGCTTAGGCCCAGAGCGGAAGAGAGGAGAGAGGGAGGCGAGAGTGGGCGCGTGGGTGTTACGCTGCCAGCAGGAGCAGCAGCTACAGCAGTGGAAAGGTGGTGTGGAGTGGAGTGAGCCGAGGTGCTGATGGGTGGCAGCCTGGCAGTAACAAGAGGAGAGGCAGCTCGAGAGAGCAAGAGGGGACTGCCAGGGACAGAGGCCTGCCTTGACTTCTCCCGACCCAGGGGAAGCAGATCGCCTGCTGAGCTTGACTTGATGCTCGCCTCCAGCCCCACCCTGGCTGCCACACCTGCTGCTGGAGAGGCAGCACCTGATGAAGCACCTGAAGCACCCCCTGCAGGAGGCCGCTGGGGCTTCCTGGCACTGCCGCCAGCAGATGACCCAGCAGCAGCACCAGCAGCAATGATGCCAGAATATTTGAGTGAAGCGGAGCTGGTGTCTGCTGCTCTGAGCAAGGATGCCGACTCGGGGTTCTTGGTGCTGGCGCTGTCAGCGGCAGGCTTGCCCCCTGCTGGCCTCACCGCAGGCAGCCGTGAATCAAGCAGAGGATCAGCGGAGGAGGAGGAGCTGGGGTCCGTGTGCGGCACCTTCTGATCGTGATGGGCGTTGGGGGGTGGGGAGTTATACAAAGGTGGAGAGGAAAAAGTGCTGATGGGAAGAGGAAGGAGTGTGCGAGAGGTAAATTGCAGAGAAAAACGGCAGATTGATGACAGGGAAAAGGGAAAAGCGGGAACGAGAGACAGTCGGGGCTGTGCGAGGGAGGGGAATTGAGAAAATATGGAAGGTCAAGGAGCAGGTACGTACAGTGGGGGTGGAGTAATGGCCTGAGAGCAGGGAGGAGGCGGAGGAGGAGGCATGGAGGTCCTTGGAGGAGAAGTGGCGCGCCAGGGGCACCACACTCTCGCCCATTGGCAGCCCACGCTCTATGGTCGCCCGCTCTGGTGGGGTGCAGGGTTTAGACATGCACACGGGCACAGGGGTCGCGATCCAATAAGGGGTGATGCGAGCATGGGATGGGCTGATCCCACTGATAACGCCACAGGTTGTCCTTTGCATCTCCCGCTCGGGTGCGCACCTCCTTGCAGTATCATGTGGCCCTTGACGATCACCCTGCGCCCGTCCACGCCCACGTCCTCCCCCTTGTTCCCCCTCCCCCCCCCTCTCCCGCCCCCTCACTCGCACCTCGTTGCAGTATCACGTGGCCCTTGACGACCACCCTGCGCCCGTCCACGCCCACGTCCTCCCCCTCGCCGTCATCGTCAAAGCGCAGGCGGTGCCAGGTGCGGCTGTAGAGGCCGCGGCAGTGCGAGAGGAGGTGCGTGACGGAGTCAAAGAGGCGGTGGTGCACGTTGAGGGCGATGAGCAACGACCACGCTACCATGCACAGCGGATACACGCGGTCAAACGACTTGGGCAGCACCCCCATGCGCTGAAGCGTGCATGTGTGGGTGCGAGGGAGCGAAGGGGCATGAAGGAAGTTTTTAGTGCACGAACGAACGACCAGTGGTGAGCATGGATAGAGAAGGGTACGTGTGGTGATGTGACTTGTGACTCAGAGGCATGGAGATGAATGGCAAACAGAGCAGAATGCAGGGCATGAGGGGCGGGGAATGCAGGGCATGAGGGGCGGGGAATGGAGGGCATGAGGGGCGGGGAATGGAGAGCATGAGGGGAAGGGCATGCAGAACCAGGTGTGCAGGGCACAAGGAGCACACCTTTTCAAAGACGGTGATGAGGGGCTCAACAGAGCCAGTAGCGTAGTTGTAGTGGCGCAGGTGGATGAGACTGAGGAAGTTGTAGCACATGGGGGCCGCGTACCGGGACACCATGCTGTGGCAGCACAGAGGCGTGAGGGAGGTGTGAGACATTGGGTCAGACTTGAATAATTGAAATGACTCGACAACTTCCAAGTCAGGTCATCTGCACTCACGCAAGCAAGAAGTTGCAACGAACAGCATGGGCAGGAGGACACGAGGTTGAAGGTGGCACTGTGGGGCTTACGAGCAGTTGATGAGGAGTGAGACGGAGTCGGTGTGTGCGGGGACGAGGTAGTAGAAGGAGAACATGCCGAGCTTGAAGAGAGAGAAGTACGTGCACACGCACAGGTACACCAGCGGCACAAACACTATCAGCTGCACCGCCTCCCCGTGCAGAGCAGCGGCTCGCACAAGCACGGAGAAGAGCGAGAGGTCGACCCACTTCTGGGAAAGCAGGGTGGCCTCAGCAAAGAGGATGGCGAGGGAGATGAGGCCGAGGAGCAGCGCGAAGGCCCGCACCACGTGGCTGCGGATGGCACAGCGCCACCACCACTCTGCATGGCGGAGGGGGGATGGAGGGGAGGAGAGGAGGGAGGAGAGGGGGGTAGGAAAAATGATGAAACACTTACATGGCGAGGAAGGGTTGGAGAGGCAGGACACATGCAAGTGCGGAATCAGCACTCTAGTGGAGAGTATGGGAGGAGAAGGTGACGTGCACGGACTTGTGCACAGAGGCACGGAAAAATAACCATGGTTGTATGCCTTTGGGCAAGAGGAGTGAACACAGGCTGAGCCTGCAACAGTCTGTTATGCCACATCAATTTAGTTAACGCCTGCTCGTGACATGACCACGCACCGACGACATCGAGGAGTGGGGCAAAGAAGCCCTTCCTGGGCGCGCGCAGGTAGGAGGTGTAGCGGCCGGTGCCCTGGTAGCAGTTGTGCAACGTCTCCTCCAGCTGCAGCGCCTCCCACACCACCGTGCAGTACTCCCTGCCCACCATCAAGGGTGCGGGGGGTTTGACGCCATGGGGGGTGTGCAGGGCGAAGCGATGGGGGTTGTGAGGGGCCAGGCCATGCGGGGTGCGGGGGGGTGAGGCCACGGGGGGGTTGAGGGGTGAGGCCATGGGGGGTTGTGATTGTTCTTCTAACTCTACCTCCCATCGCCCTGCCCCTGTGCCCCCCATCTTCCTTACTTCCACCCCCCTCTGAATCTTCTCCCATCGCCACCATGCTCAACCCCTTCTCTGTACCCCCACTCCCCCACTCCCCCTCCCCCCTCGCCAGCTCTCACGTCTTGCAGCGCGAGTAGTTGTCCTGGGCGTTGCGCAGGCGGCGGCGGAGGGCGGCCATGCTCTTGGCGTCGGCGTCGTAGTCCATGTCGTTCTCGCCTATCTGCCCGCCCGATGGCTTGAACCCCGCGTCCTCACTCGCCTGCACGCCGTGCCACACCAAGGCAGAGGGTCATTTGTGCGTGTGGAGAGTGGGGCTTTAGACCAAGGCAAACGCTCCACGGTATAGGATGGTTAATTGTACAGAGGACGACAGATTGTAAGTGCCTCCACGATGCATGTCACTGCCAGCCATTCTAATTGCTCGGCCTTTCAGTTTCCTCTTACTTGGATATCATGTCTATTGCCTGACTGTTAGGACATCTCAACATCATGTGCTTGCTGGGGTATGCATGTAACCTCACCATGGCATCGATTATCTCCATCATGGGTCGCAAAGGATCATGGCGGGGCATCTGCAGCGAGGTGGCCTGTGCAATCTGAGGGGCACGCAGAGGAGGGAACGGCACAAGAGAAAGGGGCAACAACGAAGCACAGTGAGATAACGCAGGCGGATATGATCCTTAGGAGCTGTGATGCAAAACAGTAAAATAGGGCAGACTGGATGAACGACAGGGAGTTTGATACAAACAGAGGAAAGGGCAAGACGGCGGTGCCACGGTAAGTATGCCCGCTGCACTGACCACGATGGCAGTGCTGAGCTCCTGGTGCGCCTGGTCCAGTTTCTGTGCCGCCCGGGCCACGCGCACGGACAGCCACTTGTGACGCTCTGCCAGGTCAGCGTGGCTCCAGAGGCCCCTTGGGATCTCCACCAGCCCGTACCCCAGCAGCAACGCGCCCGTTATCAGCGCAAAGGCGTTCGACGCCCCTATGGCCAGCGACACTATGTTGTCCCTGAAGGGGGGGTGGATATGTGAGGGTTGGGAAAGAGGAGTAAAGGAAGGGTTGCATGGACGGGAAGCAAGAGGAGCAAGAGAGGTGAGGAGGGGTAAGGGGGATGAACTCACCTCCCACCCCCTGGCTCTCAGTCAACCAACCTCCCCCCAAAAATATTATTCTCATGCGTGGCCGGCACTGACCAGGCCATCTCCTTGGTGGCGAGCAAGATGATGATGCCGACCACGGCCACGGCGCCCACGATGCCAATGAGCATGAGGTTCATCCTCACACTCGTGCGCAGCCGCTCTTTTGCCGTGAAGTCCCCTGCGTCCTCGTAGCCCTGCATGATCGGGATGATCACCCTGGGGTGGTGCGTGGAAGGCAACGTTGATATGAGATCGTTAGGGCCCTCACCACTCAGATACCATGCACGATGGGGGAATGAGCAGCCCGGCAGGTGGGTGGGGGGTGGGTGTTGAGGAGAAAAGGAGAATGGGAGGACTGGATGGAAGGAGTGGGACAGGTGAGGAATGGCAACGACTGCAGGCAGCACCAGCAGTAGGCAAGCACAGGTGGGGAATGGAGGACGGGTCCATCACCCGCGGGAGGAGGGACAGTGTGATGCTGTGAGAAGGTATGCAGGCTGACCATGTGAGGAAGTAAGCGCTCCAGTAGGAGAAGCTCCACATGAACTGCACGGAGAGCTTCGAGCCGCACACCGCTGCTGACAGCCCCGACGTCATCCCCGTGGGGCCCGCCTCGCCCTCCAAACATATCGCCTGCACTCACCACCCGCGTGAAGGACATCCGTGACGCATATCCATGCAAGCAAGACACGCATACAGGAGAGTCGTGCACTCGTGTAACACATGCATCGAAAGGCATGCAACCATGCACCCATCCAACCATGATACCCATGCAGCCATGATACACATGTAGCCATGAAATCCAAGCAACCATGACATTAATGCAACGATAACATCCATGTAGCCACGGGACATGACCATAGCATACATCAGCCCGTGAAATTCGCATGCAATCCACGCAGCAGAATTCAATATTATGCTTCTGCCGCGCATAATGCGCAACGGCAGACACAGAGGACTGCGAAAACGAGTCAAGCTCCCTGGCTCAAGTCGGGTACTACTCGCGGATGCGTGCTTGAAGGATGGGATTGACGATACTCGAGTGGGAAAATCACGGAATTTGTTTTGGTCATCTTATCCACAGAATGACTATCAAGTATGAGCCTGCAATACTGCTGCTTCATTATCACTGAGGATCCGCTGTCCCAACGAGCTCTTAGCGGTACTAATGACTATCGCCGAAACACTCACTACATAACTTCATGCGACGAACATGACGTCCGTATTCTTAAAAGCCGAGACACGCACCGTCCAGACGTCGACAGGGACGAGGATGACGATGGAGACGTTGACGAACCACGTGTACGCGACGATGATCCGCACGTGCTGAAGCACGCGTGGCGATGCGTAGTATATGAGCGTCCATATCACCATGCCTAGTGTGACCGGCAGCGCGATGGCGTAGAACATCCACATGGTAATTACCCTTTTCGAAATAACGATGCTCAACTGTAGATGCTTGTGAATGCCCTACTTCGTATACCTAACTCTTAAGCTGCTCGCTACATCCACTAGGAAGTCATACTAGGTGGAACCTTCACGACTCGAAGTACACCATGGTGTTCTCGTGCTGCTAGGTAGAACTGGACGGCTTGTCCTCCAAACAGAGTATCCAGTGTTGTGAATCCTAAGATGCTACTGCGCTACCACGGAGGACCGAAGCTATTCAGAACCCTAAAAGTACGAACACCTAACAGTAAATGAGATTAGGCCTACCTACTAAAAGCACGTATTTTCGTGCTTCCGATACCACTGGAGTTGCCGTGGTGCTCATGTCGAAGTCGGAATCATAACCTGTGCCTGACAGCAATCTGGTTTTCTTCTGACCACCAATTCACACTTCTTTCGCCGCTGGCGACGTCGCCGAACCACTAGGTTACAGTTTCGCTCCATCTCTCATCGTCACATATTGGTGCGTTTCGGGAATTCAAGTCGCACAGGGCATGTAGGACGGTTGGGCGACAGGAGCGGCGTTGTTCATTGGTGGGTTCTTGAAGCTAGTTACGAGCAGTTGCGCCGCGTCAGGTCAATTGCAATTGTCCAAAATTGTGATTGCACCGAGGTAGCACACCACAAACAATCAAGCGATGATATTCAGATTTACACGCCAAAACTGATTCATTTCCCTAAACCGAATCTATACGTCTGATATCATCAATGTCTAACTACTTCTTAAAAGCTGTGCCTCCAGGTCGGCCTTGTATCCCTGTAAAATACAGTTTACACACGAGTGATGTTAATATGCCACTCCAGAGATGCATATGAATGAACGTTGGTCCAACCCAAATCGATTTACCTTCATGTAGTTGATGTAGTCTGATGCTGCATTAAGCAATGTACACAAGTCAGCCCTTTGAGTAAATCCTCTCGCCTTCTGAATGTGGCTGCTAAGAAACTTCCCTGGTATGACTTCACGCAAATTTGAAAATCCCTGACTGCCATAAGCAACACACAGTAAACTCAGACGTCAGATTTTCTGTGTGGCATGTACGGATGGAGTACTTGCCAAAACAGGACACCCATACCTGACACGAGCTCTCCTGTACTTTTCAGTCGAACTCTTCTTAGTAATGCCACCACCTCCAGCTCTCGAGTGAAAGCTATGGCTCTGCTTTTGAGACTTCACCGGACTCAAGGTGCTGCGGCCTGGGGCGTCTGACAGAGCATGAAGCATTGCTCTGTTTCTCCGCATTTCAAAAGCTTCAGGTGTATTCAGTAGACCCTGCTGACTTGCCCCAATGTCACAGGCAGCCAATGCGGCTGCGGTGGCATTTGCTGTGGGGCGACATGCAGCAGGGTCGGGAGCGGGGGCTGCTGCGCCACCAGCCAGGGGACCATACTCCAAAGGGGGGCGCCAGGACAACAAAGTGGCTGGCTCAACCATGGAACCGAAAACTACTGGAGCTGCTATTGGGGACCCGGCCACTTCGTTAGATGGCGCAGACAAGCTTTTCCCGTGAAACACCCCAGCTCCCCGCACCGTGCTCCTGGCGTTCGCCGGACAATTCCGCAATTGCGCCTCGGCAACTTGCGTGACGAAGGTGCCCTCAGTCAGTCTGCCATTGGTGGGAGCAACAGGCACCAGCACCGGCTCTGCCGACAAAGACCTGTTCTGTACCTCGGCAGCTCGCAATGACTTGTGAGGTCCAGGCTGAGCGGCGGCTGCGACAGGGAGATCCAGATCAAGCAGCTCGTTCCCCAATAGGTAGGTCAAGTAGGCGAGTTCCTGATCGTTGCACTCCAAACGCGCCATCTCGATGCAGCAGTGGAGGAAGCCTTGGATTACTTGGAACGAGATAACTCAAATAGGTGCTTGCAGCGAGGACGACGTCACGGGCCGATTTGGAATAAAGGAAGTGCTTTTCCGTGCGTGGAGCGCTCAAAAAGCAACAGCTTAAGACGTGAGTGATGAGGAAATTGCTGGGCTGAGAGCCCGCGAACGATAAGCACGTGAAGCTTTCGTCTGTGGGAGTAGTGGAAGTGAGAGAGGCGCCGACAAGTGGACTCGTCCATGGCGACCATGGTTGCACATTGGCTCGTCGTCGTTCCCAAGGGCTACAACTCTTTGCATGCTTGAACGGGCAGTGGACCATTGATAACGCAGATTGCCACACACAGCGATGGCAAAAGCGGCGAGGCAATTGTAACTGACAAAATCGCCACGAGAGTTGGAAAATATTGGAATGCCAACTGCCGCAGCAACTTGGCAGGTTTCGAGCGGTTGAGAGTCTCAGTTCAGGCGAACCCGAAGGTTCTAGATCGGACCAAGATTTCTTAGATACTTTGTTGGCCATCACTTCCTGCTAGCTTGGGTTGTTGCAAGCCTCTCTGAGAGGGAATCCTTGTTCAGCCCGTACGAAATCCCATTGCTTAATAATCTGTGGCAGTCGGCCTGGTCTATTAACTTCAACGACTCGCTAACCTTGGAATGCTCGCCAAGAGCAACAGGCACGTCACGCTTGCCCAGCTCAGCACCAGCAAGGTTTAGTAAGCGGCAAAGGCGGCGGTATCTGGAGGGGAGTTATGACTTACACCAAGAAATGGTGATCCTCCTCTTGGAAAAGCTGATTTTACTCAACTGACTCAGCATTGGATGTATATCGCCTCAAAGTACCCCTTCTTATGACTGGATACCGTATGGTGCAAATATTTATCTTAGCGTTTTTGTATGGTGGAAGAGTCTCTGTGATGACGTCCGCATCATCATTCATTGCCCTCTTGCTGGAAAGATACAGAACAAGGATGGTGGATCTGCCACACCCATACAGATTGCAACACCTGGGCGCCTCAATAGTCCGTTGGATTCTACCAACGAACCAATCGAATCGCCGCATTCGCCACTCGATATTGGGGAGAGAATGCTGATACAGACATCAACATGGTAATGGAGCGGTAACACGTGCAGAATTTTGAGAAACAATGGTATGCTCCAGAAAGCCATGGATACATTATAAAAATTGCACTATTAACAAAAATTTGGCAGGCAAGTCAACCCTAACCAAAACCTCTTGGAACCATTGCTACGTTGCCTTGCGTGGGTGCATGTTGCGCTCGCAGCTGAACCAATAACTCTCTAAATGCATCACGTGCTATCTTTGCATCTCCTCTCTGCAAGCACGAATGCAACGAAACACAACATTAGAAAACACAAAACAATCACACTGCCTTACCCAGAACAAGCTTCTGGACTAAGAACCCGGATGGTGGTGTGCGGCCAGCAGAATTGTCTGCTTTTAAAGAGAGAGTGAGGAAATATATACGCGTTCACAACCACAGGTACGCTGACAACATCAGCAGTAGCACACACCTGGAGCTGGGTACAAAAGTTGGCGGCTAACGTGGGTGGACAGTTAAGTGAGGGCAGAAGAGAAGAAAGGAGGCGATCGGAGAGCAGCTGGCCGCACGTGTGGTGCAGCGCCAGCAGGGCGAGTGAAATGTCGTTCACTAGCAAAGCCTGGCATGGAAATTGGGGGGGTTGGAGAAGTTGGGGTGCCGAGTGGAGAGGACAGGGTTGGGGGAATAGTGAGTTGGAAACAGTCAGGCTTGCAATAGGCTGTGCTCTGAAGGGAGGCAGCAGAAAGCAGTGAGCAGAACGAGGGTGGGGAGGGCACTGGCGAGCAGAGCAAGAGTGGGGAACAGAGGGAGCGGAGGTGGCTCACGGAGTTGGCGTCCTGCAGGGAGAAGGAGGGCTGCAGGCACGGCAGCAGGCACGCCGTGGGCAGAAACTGCTCCAACAAAAACGCCCTGAACCCCGGCGCCTGGAAAGACGCATGGCGGCGGGGGTTTGGGGGGGGATTAAGGGAAGCGAGAGGCAAGAGAAGAAGAAAACAGCGGTGTTAGCCGTGGTGCATTCCGTCAGATGGAAATCACATCGTCGTGGTAATACATTTCTTTCGGTTGAATGGCATCCCTTCAGGTAATACATCCCTTCTCAAGCTGCCCAAAAAAAGGTGCACTACCTTCTCGGGGTCGCAGGAGCACCAGTCGGAGGCGAAGCGGATGAAGCAGGCAACGGCCACCTTGCGCAGCGAGATGTCCACATGCAGTGAGGCCGTGTCTAGAAGGAGAGTGATGATGCGTGGGAGCACTTGTGAGGCGTTGGCGGGGGAGAGGAAGGTGGCGTGCAGGTCCGCCATGGTGATGCCGTGCAGCAGCATCACCACTGCTCTCAACACCTCCCGCTGCTCCCTCACCTCCTGCCATGGCAGTAGAGTGGGAGGGGAGCAAACAAGGAAGCGGATGGATGAGTGCGATGAGAGTATGCGCTTGAGAGGAAACGTGTCAACAAGGGAGGATTCTTGCCAGGCAAAGGGCTTCCTTGTGCCCCTGAACGGAGCCCGTGTTGCTTGTTCACTTTGACAGCAGGGAACCATTCTCTCATGCACACGCACACACGCATGCACCCTTCCTCCCCTTTCCCAGCATCCCTACTCTCATGCACGCACGCACCTCGGGCGTGCCAGAGGCGTCAGAGGTGGTGTTGGGTGGCCCCATGAGCGAGGGGAGCGACGAGGGCAGCAGGACGGAGAGGCGGGCGAAGAGGGGGGCGAGCAGGGCGTCGACGATGGGCGCCATGTGTGCGCGGTGCTTGGCTGTTAGCAGTGACAGCAGCTGCACACACTCCACCATGTCCCTCGCCTGCAGGGAGGGGGAAGGGAGGGAAGGAGGGGGTAAGGGTTTGACATGGAAAGACTTTGAAATGACAGAGAGGCCGCATGTGGAGATGACGAGGGAAACGCGGAGACACAAAGACCAAGCAGTTGGAGCAGAGGTGTACCTCACAGTGCGCGAGGAGGAGCGGCAGTGCTTGTGGCAGGAAGGGGATGATGTGCGCCCCCAGGCAGTCCGCCATGCGGTGCAGGAATGATGTCACCTGGTGGGGGGCATGGGCGGAGGAGGGGTGCAGAGAGAGGTGAGAGAGGGTAGAGGCGAGGCAAGCGAAAATAGCCTTAGTGAAAGAATAAAATAGAGAGGGAGGCATGTGATGCATGCTGTGATCTTTAATAGAAAGCTCGAGGCATGTGATGCATGCTATGATCTTTAATAGAAAGCTCGAGGCATGTGATGGAGGCAGCAACAAGCAGGCAGCCATGATGGCTGATCCACACACCTCCTGTCCTGCTCTGCTCACATTCAGTCTGAGGGCCAAGGGAGTACCTTGGAGCGAGTGGGGCGGCTGCGGGGCAGGGCGTGCAGCACGCGGAGCACGCACTCCACGGCGCCCTTGAACAGCTGCGCCAGCTCTGGCCGCGCCGTGGTCACCATGTGCGCGGCAAAGCCCTTGGACAGGTAGCTCATGGCCATGATCACCTGCTGCAGCGCCGCCACCATGCCCGCTGCCGCCTCCGCTCCCCCTCCTCCTGCTTCTGCCGCCTGTGCTTCTTGTGCCAACGCATCTGCCTGGAAGGCACGGGCAGGAGGTGAAGGCATGAATGGGTAGGTAAGGTAGGTATGAGCAGGTGAAGGTGGGTATGAGCAGGTGAAGGTGGGTATGAGCAAATGAAGATAGGTGGCAGGCGGGAGTCAAAGGCGAGTGAGAAGCATCAGGAAAACCCAAAAAGCAATGGCAGTTGTGCTGCCAGTCCAGCCGTTGAAGATGCTATGGCTCCCTGTTTTACTGCATCACCCAAACCTGAAACCCCCGTAAGTTTCTCGCCCCACTCACCCGTGCGATGAGCGGTGTGAGCAGCGCTGACAAGCACGCTGCCTGCTGCTGAGCTGGCACTTCCTCCTGCGCCAATAGCAGCCCCACTGCCTGTGAGAGCGTGAGGGGAAAGGGGGACCAGTGCAGGGATGAGGGTTTGCAGAGTCAGTGGGTGGCTACGATGCTGCTGAGCAGCTACAGGTGACCTACAGCACGCCTGCAAGCACAGCTCTCCCACCAGCACAGCACGCTCATCAGCACGCCTAGCTCACCTCATACGCATAGATGCGGTCGTCAAAGGCACCTTCTCCTCGCCCAAACGGCCCTGCTGGTCTGCCCTGCCCGCCTGCCCCCTTGCCTGCTGCTGCTGGTGGCGCTGACGTGATGGCCTCTAACATGCGCTGCAGACCCTGGGAGCACGCGAAGGGTGGGGAGAGGGGCCGGTTGTGGTGGGAGGGAGGCGTGAAATGAGGTCACACGCGCATAGGAAGGGAGCAACGAAGAAATGCTGAGATGCAGGCAGGGCAAGGGCGACAAGCATCACAATCCCCCGCGGAAATCAATGAGCAGTCTCATGGCACGGCCCTTCCCCACCCCTCCCCTCTCCATGCCACACCATCAGCTCCCCACCCATGCATGTATACGACACCATACCATGCCATACCGTACCACACCGTGCCACACTGTGCCATACCATGAGGATGGAGTCGAGCAGTGGCAGCAGCTGTTGTCTCAGCACCTTCACCACGCGCATCAGCAGGTACGCTGCCCGCCCCGCCACCGCGCTGTTGCCGTGCCCCACGCCCCACGGGCCCAGGAAAGCATCTAGTGCAGCAGGGATGTACTGAGGGCGCTGCTGCACGAACCGCACATACCGCACTATCACCTCCAGCCACGCCACCGCCACCAGCCGGTGCCCCCTGTACCTCACCCCCCCTCCCGCTGCCCCTGCTGCCGCCCCGCCTGCTCCCTGCTGCTGGGAGGCCACTGAGGCAGAGGAGGAGGAGGAGGAGGAGGAGGAGGAGAGGAGCAGCGCGGTCATCTCCCCCAGCGCGCCGCTGCCAGGCTTGAGTGCCTCCTCCGTGACGCCCTCGCCTAGTTGATAGAACAGCTGCACTGCTGCCTCTGTCTCCGCGAACGTCGCGTGCGGCCCGCGTGCGAGCGCTGCGGCTAGGGTTTCATGGACGAACGCGCGCACGACGGCAGGGTTGACCTTGGCGGCGGAGCGCAGCAGCACGAAGAGGTCCTTGCGCTGTTCGCCCACGCGCTCCTCCTCCTCCTCGCCCTCCTTTGTCGGTGCATCTAACGCCTCACAGCTGCTCTCAGGGTACCTCATCCGCTCCCCCACTACCAGCAGCACCTGCCGCAGTTGCTGCTCCTGCCGCTCTCTCACCGCTGCCGCCGCCGCGTCTGCTGCTCCGGCGGCTGCTGCGGTGGCGGCGAGCGCCGCGGCGCCTCTGCTGCTGGCGCCGCCGACGCGGCGCATGTCAGCGACGAAGAAGAGGAGGAACTGGAAGCAGTTGGCGGACACGTCCTCGTCGGGGTGCCTCTGCGCCAAAAAGAACACGGCCGGCAGAATGGCATCCAGCATGCCCTGCGCCGCCGCCGTCGCCGCCACTGCTACTGATTCAGACGCCTCCCCGCCTCCCCCGTCCCCCGCGCCCGCGCCCTTCCCGTCTTCCATCCCGAACCCCTGCAGAACCCCCTCCGCCCGTCCGCCCCCGCCACCCCCCGCCTCGAGTTTCTTGATGCACTCCATGATCTCGGTGGCGGCGCCCGTCAGCAGCTCCGCGAGGCGCAGCGTGAGCCCCTCGTCCGCGCGCGCGATCTCCTCCACCACGCGCACGCCCGCCACCTGCGCGATCTGCACGCGCTGCAGCAGCGCCACCTTGCTCACGGCGTCCATGCGCTTGTTCACTATAGCGAGGATGCACCCGCACGCCGCGGATCGCAGGCGCACGTCGCTGGTGTGTGCTGCTAGGAGGCCGAAGAGGAGCGGCAGCCAACGGGAGTCCGCGACAAGCCCGATGTCTATCCATGCCACGTACGGCTGTAGCGTTTCCAGCAGCGCCGCTACAGATGCCGCCGCGTCGTCCCTGCTCACCGCGCTCCCCCTCCCGTCCCTCAACACCACATCTCCCCCTCCCCCGCCCACACCGTTACTGCCCGGCATCCCACCCTGCTCTGCCCCAGCTCCTCCTCCTGCTCCCCCCGCCCCCAGCGCCGTTAGCAGCGCGACAGCGGCGCAGTACCAGGCGTGCACGAGCGGCGCAATGCAGCCCTCGCGCATGCCGTCCTTGACGCGCATGGCGGCGGCCGACTCCTCCGCCGTGCGCGCGTACTCGATGCTCAGCACCTCCTGGTCCAGCGCCGCCAGCACGCGGCACGCCATGTCCAGACTCACCACGCTCCACGCGCCCGCGCCCTCCGCGCCACCCGCTTGCGCCATGGAGCTGGTGGTACCGCCGGCGGCGGAGGCTTGGGGGTTGGCCGCTGCGCCGACCGCCATGAGCGCGGAGACGATGGGGTCGAATGCGGTGTGCCACGGTGTGGGGTAGTGCAGGCGGATAAGCAGCACGATCACCTGCGCCACCTTGTTGCGGATGAATACCGGCCATGACGCGCACAGCGGCACCCCCCCGCCCGCTTGCCCTCCTGCCTGCGCATCTGCCATGCCCTGCGGCCCCCCCGCCCCTGGCATCAGCCCTGGCATCAGCCCTGATCCCACGGGACACCTGAAGGCTACCGCCATTAGGGTTTCGCGGAGCTCCGCCAGCGCTTCGGGCGGAAGAAACTCACCCTCCGCCCCTGCGCCAGCGCCGCCGTCGCCAGAAGATACCCCCCCCGCGGGCTGCGGCTGGCCGTCCGCGCGCAGTCGCTGGCGCAGCAAGAGCTCTTCGAGCGCCTGCAGGCACCAGAACTGCACCTCAGGGTAGCTCGACGAGATGAGCCGCTCCACGCACACGCGCCATAGCTGCGGGGAGCGCCGAGCCTCCGCGCAGAACGCGTGCGCGCGTGCGCGGAGCGAGACGTCGACGGCTCCTGATTGATCGAAGCTGAAGAGAATGGCCCGCTCGAGATCATCCATGCCCCCCTGGTGGTAACCCGATCGTTTCTACGTGGTATTGCGGTCCCTGTGTCTCTGCTGCCGTTGACCGTTGCTATTTTCCCACGTCTGCCGTCCCCCCGCTCCCACCCTCCCCCACTGTTGCTGCTGCACCCCTCTGACCCTGGTTCCAGCCACGGGACAACAGAGTGAACTACCCCATACGAGGCGCTGTGGAAAAACCCCAGGGGGGGAAGTGGAAAGTGAATGTCACAACAGACCTATCGGCGACATCTGCGAGGTCGGGAAGGAAAACCCCGGCGGAAGTACGGTACGCTTGATAAGGTTTGCGACCGGATGAAGGGTGCTCAAGGACAATGGGGAAGAAGATAGCAGAGCCTTGAACGGGGACTCCTGGCAGATCTGCAATCACGGGGTAAACGCGAGACGATCTGCTCTCCTCTTCGACACTCCTTGTCCGCTTCCGCGTAAACAAGGACTGGGTGTGGTCGGGCCTGGGTCGCGATCCAGTTTCAGCCGCGACGCCTCACTCTCAAACCTCCCTGATGCTGATCGGATGCCGCTCCCTCCGCTGAATCTACCTTGTGTGTCGACTAAACACGATCCTCCAACACAAGCAGCAACCTCCCTGACCGTATATGGTCCAATTCTGCGCTTCCGTGAGATCACGTCACGGGTGAACCATGCGAAGACGACTCGAGGAGATGCTTCAGAGAGTGGAGGGAAAAAGAAGAGTAAGCTGCAGATTCAAAAAGCCTTTCGCACCTAGATATGGTAGGACACTGTCGGATTACAGGGACTAGCGTCAGGTGTTGCTAACTTGAGAATGATCAGGCAGAATCTGAGAACCCTGGGATTACATGGTCAGCAGGAGCGAGGAACGGGTGCAAGAATGTGATTTGAACCTATTGCCTGCCACCATACCTGACAAGCTTGCCACACAGAAAAGAGTGGCGGGAACTTGCGAACTACGCTTTTGTTGACAACACAAATGGCCGCTTTCGCAAATATTTCGCGAAAGGCAAAATGGCCCAAGCACCAACATCCATGCGACTGACGAGCGTCGCAAATGTGGTTACAGTCGCACGGATTCGACCACTAAACTTCGTTTCACAAGGATGTGCCATTCCAAAAGAAACTCCCAAGGTTTCGATGGAAGCTGACTCAAATATTAGCTACAAGCGCTATGCATGACCCGTACGTAACAAGCCTTGTATACGATATATGACATACTTTCTGTATTGCCGTTCAAACGTAGACTCGTGTAAATGTTCGTTACATAGTCATGAATCAAACTCGTGGATGCATTTATCAAGGATCAATGAGGCTTGAGTCCATAAAAGCAAAGGCAAAGAGCCTCAAATACAGTTGCTGGCTCCTACAACTCGTCATATAGCTTTGCCTCGGTATTTTTCAATGCCTTCATAAGCTATCGCGTATGGATGTGCGACATTGGATCTCCCCCAAGCAACCAGAGCACTTTTACTGCGAAAATCTGATGCGATGGAAACCAGCATTGCTGGCGGTCGCAGGCATCCTTCTAAGACGGCGATTCGGCGAGCTCCGTGAGGGCAGTGATCCAAAGGCGAGCAACTGCGCCTGGGGATTGTGCCGAGGGGAGAATGCCACCAACGGAAGATGCATTATCGCTGTGCGAACAATTCGCATAACCTTTTGTCCGTCGCTCAGGAATATGCCAGTAGGCAGATTTGCAGTGTGTTCTCCAACAATGGTTGGTACTGGCGGACTGCTTTCGGCTGCTGGCAGTCTCGAGGGTATACAGCACCTTCACTTTCTTGCCTCGAGAACTCCGCCTTGCTTCACTTCTGTCCATCCAGTCACTTGTCCGGCTCTGGTCATCTCCATGGTGGTTGCTTGATCATATAGAGCGTGTAAGTGGTGTGGCCAGACGCCTAACAAAGTAGTTCCCAGTGACGACGGTAACTCGTATTGCTCTGCCTAATCTGGTGCGGCGGTTCCAGTCAGTGGCTTCTATTAGTTTATCTGCCTCTTGCCATCAGTCGCTGATTCAAAATAATTTCAGCATAACCTGGCATCGCTAGTAACAGTTATTATGCCGTTTCTATGACTGTTTTGACAAGTTCTGTTGCCTCGAGAATGTCCTGATCGATCTGGACTGTTCGTCAATCAGCGGTTGCAGTACTTTGGAAATGGGTGATTGCACGGTTTCCCTGGCGAGAGGTTGCATGAAGGATGAATGTGATATGCGGGGAAATTTGGCCGGAGCTCCGGAAACGAGTGTACTGACGACGCCCGACCAGGCCGGGGAGGGCTGGCCTCTGCTACAGTCAGAGTCGTACAAGCTCGCGTGCCAGGAGGTCGAGTTAGCCGACAGCCGTGCGATTGCTCTTCAGGATGGTCATGCTACAAAATCAACGGACGCTGTTGAGATTACAATCGACGGTCCAGAACTCAACATCAGCGAGACGAGTTATGGCAAGGAGAGCAGCAGCAGCACTGGGTGGGGCATGGGCTTTATTGCAGGAGATGCCAGCACTACCACCACTACGGGCAACACGAGGGCCGAATGTGACTACAACGAAGTGAACAGCCCTCTTCCACCTGGTCCTTCGCAGCGCGATAGAGTTGCTATTCCGGTGCGTGATGACGGTACCAAGGCTTCGTTATTAACCGTCGTCGAACACCCTGCTTCAAATCCTAGCGGTCTGCCGGTCACACTACCACCCTCAACGGCTGACGTCATCCTGGACGAGTCGTCGCCGTCGCTACACGACATCGATCGCCATCCATTGTCGCCCTCGTCGTGCAGCGCCTGCACGTGCATTGGGGGATTTACGAGGGGAAATGGCACAGGAGTCGCCGATAGCAGCCAAGAGCGCGAAAACCCGGCGGAAGATGGACGGCTGGAAAGCGGAGGAGATTCATTGTTTGAAACGGAAATGGCTTTAGCGGCCGAAGCGGAGTCGAGTGCTCGAGCGGGTTCGGCGGAGGGTGGCCGCGGTCTACTGCGCGCGTGCGGACTGATAGGAGGAGGCGCGGTCTCCGCTCAGCAGGGCAACCCCGCGCCTCAAGGCCCGAGGAGAGGCGGTAGGAGGAGGCGGAGGGCAGATGCGGCAAGAGAAGCAGAGGAGAGTGTGATGGAAGGCGAAAGCGGCGAAGTGGAAGAGGAAGGTCCCGAAAACCGTCGTCCACTGTCTGTGGTGATTCACGGTCCCGGCGCGTCCTTCTTTGTGGGCACGGAGTTAATCGCCGCTGGCGGGCGCGCGCGCGCAGATGGCGCGAGGGGAAGCGGGGGGGCACAGGGCGACCGCGTTGCTCCTGGCGGATCAAGGCGGGGAGCTGAGAGCGCGCAGGTGGATGGTGCAGACAGCGGAGAGGATATTCACAGTAACGAGTATGGCGATAGCGAGTATGACAGCAGTGAAATGGAGCAGGAGGAAGAGGGGGCGAGGAGGAGGAGAGGGAGGAGGAGAATAGAAGTGTTGATGGATCGGTGCAGAGGCGGGGTGGATGCTGTGGTGCGGTGGGGACGCAGCACGCGACAGCACCTGAGAGGCACGAGAGGGTTGGCTCGTGGTGGTGCTGGCACGTCAGCAGCAAGAGGTGGAGGTACTTCTGACTCTGGCGATGCTGATACCGAGAGTGACTATGACGAGCGTGATTCGGAGGATAGGGAAAGGGGCTGGGCGCCTTATGATGAGTGTGACGAAAACGAGGGGTATTGTATGGAATGCCGGAGGAGCGCTGATGGGGAGCAAGGAGCAGAGGCGGGGAAGAGGCAGCAAGGATGCGCACATGGGAGTGTGGGGGGGAATGGGGACGGGGCTGAGCAGGAGGATGGAGGGGAGAGCGATAGCAGCGCTGTGAGCTGCAGCAGCGGGTACAGCAGGAGCAGTGGTGGGGAGAGCAAGGCGAGTGCAGACAACGATGGTGACGGTGCCGAGGCCGCGCTGCTGGACTTCCAATTCGGTAAGCCTGCTCCGCGCCCGGGGGGCTGTGCTGTTACTGCTCCACCTGCTTCCATAGAACACCAGTGGTGCTGTCCGTCCCTAACACCCTCTGCTTGCCACTCCTTTTCGTGCTTCCGTGCTTCCATAGACCCCCCTCCCCCCTCCCTCGTTCAACCTTGCCTCCTCATCCGCCTCCCCTCCTCATCACCTCCTCTTCTCCTTGTTTGCGTGCAGCTCCGTTGAGGGAGGCGTCAGGGCAGGCGGAGGGCGACATGTGGGTGGAGGCGGTGCACGTGGTGCTGCCCCCTCCGCCTGCCAGTGCGAGGGGCGGGTGGGAGGGAGTGGACGTGGCGGGCATGGAGGCGATATTCGACCCGCGGTGTGTCAAGTGGTTCCAGCGCGTGAAGCGCCTCTTCATTGCGCTGCTGCTGCTCGGCTCCATCTTCTACATCGTCTCCTTCATCGGTCCGTGCCATGCCCTGCCCCTGCCCCTGCCCCCGCCTGCCTCTCCACCTCGCTTGCTCTCAAGCGTTGCCTGCTGGCGAGTGGACACTGTTTCATGCAGTCAGATTTTGTTAACAACTCGCTCTTGGCTTCGTCGAAAAACAGCATTTCGTGCGCTACACTTCCCTGACTGTGTGATGCAATGCACATTCTCCAGCACTGCTTTCGTTCCCTGCCATGCGCTGCTTTCTAATGTGGCGCCAGTGTGTGCATGGTGGCAGCAAACCGCTGAGGTGGATTCAAACTAGCACACGGCAAGACAGCGCTCAAAGAACTACACCTCTTCCGTGTGCCCACCTCCCTGCACCCTCCTCCATCTATCCCGTGCCGACTGCAGCGGGAGTGATGTCGAACCGAGGCAAGAGCGTGGAGGTGCTGCCGGTGGACACGGGTGCGACGGGCCAGGGGCAGGCGGCGGCGGCGGGGGGCACGGGGGGGCTGGACACAAACTTTGACTATGTGTCGCACGCCATGCTCACCTCCTCCAACATCTGGGTCGCCATGGCCTACCTGTCAGCCACACTTCGCCCCCTCTCTCTCGTTTCACCACCTCCCGCATACTTGATTTACTACTTGATGCACCAGTTCGCCCTCCTGGCCCCCGTTGCTGCACGATCCTACCAAAACAACTCTTCACCTTCCTCTCTCCCATTCGCTTTCCCCCTCCATTCACCCCACTTCCCACGCTCTTCCCCTCGCCTTCCCTCTCCCCACAGGGTGCTGTACCTCTCACTGGACATGATCGGCTTCGCAGGAGCCATCCTCGAGAATGTGGTGAGTGCAGTGCTGGTCCATTCCACGCCCTCTACCACTTGCGTATCTCACACGCTCTACCCCTACCCTCATTCTGCCTGCCCACTCCCACTCACCCCCCCTTGTGCACCCCTGCCAATGTGATGCCAACAGTATGACCTCCATTTCCCACACAATTCATTCCCTCCCTCATCCCTTCACACCCCCCCCTCCTCTCCCTTCCCCCCCCTCCTCCCCCTCTCCCCCCCATGCCGGGCAGAGTCTGTTGACGCTGTACATAGTGGTGGAGCTGATCATCACATTCATCTCCGCGCTCGAGGCGCTGCGCCCCTTCCTGCTCTTCCGCCTCCTCGTCATCCTCCTCGCCCTGCGCCTGCGCTACTGCGCCCTCAAGGTGCGTGCCCTGCCCCACGCTCACCTCTCCTCTGCTGGACATCTTCTCATCTCATCGCCTGCTCGGCCCCGTTCGCCACTCCCTCCCTTCCCTCACTTCCTCCACCACCATCCATCCACCATCCTCACCCCTCCCTTTCCCCATATTCTCCAACCATGCACATCTCCATCCATGCACATCTCCATCCCTCCCACCGTTGACTCGCACCAACATCCACCTGTGTCAACTCCTCTCCCCCTTCGATGCCCGCTGTGGTGCGCCCAACAGGTGGAGGATGCGGAGAGGCGCCTCTTCTCGCGCCTCATGGGTCGCCCCATGCCTCCCCCCAACAGACGCACCTGGCTCGCTGTAAGCCCTCCACTCCACCTGCTCCCCCCCTGCCCTTCTCCCACTCTCATCCGCCCCCCCACCACCACCGCGCACGCAGCCTCTCTCGCCCCTCTCTTACGTACCCTGCCCCCTCCGTTTTTACCTTGCTGACTCAGCACCATCCCGCTTCTGCCACGTGCTCACGCGCCTCCTCTCAAACGCGTGGCCGCTCACATCCCTCCCCCACCTCTCCCCTCCTTCCCCCCCCTCCCCTTTCCCCCTTCCACCAGCGTCTGGGCATATTCCCGGGCACGCTGTCAGCCATGTTCCGCCACGCGCCGCTGAGCCGCTTCCAGCTGCGCGGGCGGCCGTGGTATGCTGAGCTCGTGCGCCTGCACGCCCTGCGCCTGCAGCACCTGCAGCAGCAGCAGCAGCTAGCTCAGGCGCAGGCCCAGGCTCAGGCGCAGCAGCGGCAGCTGCAGCGGGAGCGGCGACGGCGGCAAGAGATGCGATCGCAGCGACGACACCAGCGGCAGCAGCGGCAGGAGTGGCAGGAGCAGGCAGCAGAGCAGAGGCAGCAGGATGGGCAGGTGGATGTGAGAGGTGGTGGTGTGGAGGAGCGAGTGGAGAGGGGAGGGGCTGTGGAGGCGCAGGAGGGGAGGCAGCAACAGCAGGTGGCGGTGGTGGTGGAAAGCAGTGTTGCTGGACAGCAGGTTGCTGGACAGCAGGTTGCTGGGGAGCAGACGGATAGAGGTGCTCCCGTGGTCCCCCACCCCCACTCCCATCACCATCACCACCTCCACCACCACCATCACCATCACTGCCATGAGCATGAGATGCAACAGCAGCAGCATGCACATGGTGAGCAGCAGCATCACCACCACCACTGCCACCACCACCATATCCAGCAGCATCCGAACTTGCTCTCCTCCCAAGCCAATGTTGAGCAGCAGAAGCAGGGCGTGGGGGAGGCAGCAAGGGTTGATGCTGTAGGCGTTGAGGTGTGCGGGCAGGAACAGGAACAGGTGGCGCAGCAGCAGCAGCAGCAGCTGCAGCAAGAGGAGGATGTGAAGGAGGGTGCATTGGAGGCAATAGGCGGGTCAACAAGTGACCCAGGCAGTGCTGACAGCAGCTGCACTCCCTGCCCTCATGCTGCTGCTGTTGCTGCTTGCAATGCTCCTGTGCCGCTACTGCCAACAGCAGGCCCGCGCACAGGCACAGCAGGCGTGGTGGCGGTGGAAGCAGACGAGACTTCCCTGGGCAGCCCAGGCGCGTCTGAGCACTTCAGCATTGACATCACTGACACGCCCCTCACACCTCACACCCAGGTTGAACCAGAGCAAGCAGCAGAGGCAGCAGAGGAGGAACGGGAGAGTGATGCCGCCCTGGCAGCACAGCTGCTGCTGCCGCCCCCCTTCCCCCTCGTGCCTCACCTCCCTGTCCCCCGTACTCCCTCCTCCTCCCTCCCGCCCTCGCGCTCTGTCTCCCTCACCCACCAACAGCAATCCACTGATGCAGACCTGCCCGCCTCGCCCTCTGCTGCTATGCTCCCTCCTGCCACCTCCTTCACCCTCATGTCCTCACCCCTTCCATCTCTCCCCTCTACTTGCGCTTAACATGCCGTATTTATCCTCCCCTTCCTCTAGGCGGGCCCCCCTTGCCCTAACTGATGTGTGGCATGCCGTGTGGCAAATGACCACTCTGCTGGGTGCTCTCATTGCAACAGCCTCTTGCTGCTTTGCGATGCAGTTACCATGGTACCAGCAGCCCAGATCGTAGACTCTGGTACAAGGAACCTACTGCTGCTGACTTGTCTTGTGACTGCTATGCTACGGAATTGACAAATGGTCAAACGAGTTTGACTAACTGCTTGTCTTGTTCATTGCACCTTCACCAATATTGTGTCTGACGCTTTTATATTTTCATGTGTTATCTAAATGCGTGGGAATGACGACGACCAATACTGGGGAAACAGATCACTGCATGCAGGGCGCAGAGGCGCTGTCTTGAGCAACACAAACATCCCTCCCTGCTCTTGAGGATGCACTAGTGTGCCCACCAGGCGGCTGGGCAGCATTCGGCAGCCGGGTGTGTAGCAGGGTGGTCATATGAATCAGGGACGTCGCTAGCAGAAATTTTTTGTCTGTTTGTCCTATATTGGAGGGTAACTTTTTGATTTAATCTGATAATTCAGAAATCAGGACTTAGTGAAATCTGTTCATTCAGAAATGCTTTTTTGCTATATCAGACCCATCAGAAACGTTTTCCATGTTCCTCTGATACATCAGGAGTACTTTCGGGTTTAGTCTGTTACCGAATCTTTCTACCCTTAGGCGTGATTCACGCGTGAGCAAGGCGTGGTGTGGGTGTTTTGCCGTGATTACCGGAGTGTATGCATCATGCACGCCGCCCCCCGTGTTCCCACGTGTTTCTATCGTACGTGGCCTGCCACAAGTGTGGGATTGGCTAGTTTAGTACAACAGTCATCAATCCAGCACCACAAACCCACAATTTCGGCGCCTGCCGAAGGTTCGGGAAGCGCGGTTTGGGTTCACCACAGTCAAGTGGTGCCACCCACAGTTTTCGGGAGCCATGCGCGGTTCGTCAACAGGGCTCTGTGGTCGGGCGTTGGGGTTTCGGGGGGGTCCTTCTTCTCCAGCCTCCTCTTGCAAACGCCCTACCTAGCCATTTTCACAGCGATTGCAGACGGTTATCGCCTTAGTCACGTAAGTCCGCCCTCTCGCCATGGCGGACGACACGGAAACTGCCGAATCACCCACCCCACGGCCCAAACCACCTGTCACGGGCCTCGATTTCCTACGCCGTTCCCAGCCAGCCGCCGTGTTAGGCGCCTCTTCGCCGACACGCGTACCACCGTCTTCTTCCCCGAATCGGCAGGATGTCGCTCCTGTAGACTGGCCTGCTGTTAATGCTAGACGGGCTTTCAGTAGCACACCGCCTGTCTCCCCTAGTACCTCTGCACGGATTAGAGCTAATCCTAGATCGCAAGCGGCGCCTAGCACTTCACGTGGTACTGCCGTGGGACGATTCTCAAAGGCAGGCCGATATACCCAGAGCACGCTGCGTATTGCAAAGACGGGGGTTCCTCACGTCCGCATCGTGTCAGGACCCACGCCAGAGCCTAGAGTTGAGGCTGCTGCTGCATCAACAGCACCAGCAGCTCATCCCACAGGTGATCCTGGGCCTTCCAGGAGCACCATCCACGTCCCTGATCCAGACGCGCTTATGGAGAAGCTCCACGAGCTGTCCAAGGAATTTTGGCGCGACAAATTCAAGTGGCTGATTATCACGCAGAGGAAGGACGGGACGCCGTGCATGAAGTGCAGTATATGCATGGCTCACGGTCCAGCCCACTGGAAGTTTGGTAAATACGGCGAAGGTGGCGTTGATATCCAGCGGCAAACAATGCGGAAGCACGCGCTCAGCCTCAAGCATCAAGACGCAGTCAAAGCCAAGCTTCGCGCCGAAGGCGGTAAGGTTGCACAGAGGGGCATTGAGCAGTTCGAAAACGACGACAACGAGACTTCTCGGTTGAAACAACTGATGCTGGTCGTGCTATTTATCTGCAAATCCGATTCCCCCATCTCCCTGTTTATTGATCTTGTTCGCCTGTTGGGTGAGCTTCAGACGCCGCACATCCCGGACAAGTCCATAGGGACATACCAGTCAGCGTGAGTGAAATTCTTTCTTGGTTTGTGTTTTTATTGTCACTACGACTAATACCACCTTCACTGTGTTGTGCAGGTACGGCTTCCGTGAAATTACCGAAGCGATCGTCACCAACCTGAGGCAGCAGCAGATGCGCCACATCCAGGCGTCTCCGTTCTTAGGAATTCAACTCGACGAGAGTACCGACCGGCGCAGAGGCAAGCACATGATAGTCTATCTTAGCTTCATTCGCGACGCCGAGGTCGTCACCGAGCTGTTTGGGCACCTGACAGTCGAGAAGTGCGACGCGTCGTCTCTGCTGACAGTACTTCTCGCCCATTTGGCCGTGACGGGCGTCGACATCATGAAACTGACGGGCATCAGTACGGATGGCGCGAGCGTGATGCGGGGTTCACAGGCTGGAGTGGCGACCCAGCTGAAACTGCGAGTCCCACACCTGGTGACGTGCCACTGCATCGCTCACAGGTGCGATGACAAAATCTCTCTGGCGGTGGTGTATGATCTTGTTGTCAAACGTTTTTCAGTGTTCTAACCGCTTCTTTTTGCACACTTGCAGGGAGGCTCTCGCCGCGAAGGACGCGGCGGAGGCGGTGCCCGACCTCAGCATGGTCGACACGGTCGTGCGGAGCATCGCAGAGAACTTGGGGAGGAGCATCGTCTTGCACTCCCGGTTCATGGAGCTACAACACATCCTGCACGAGACGTCTCTGGAGGTGCAGGGTTTTAAAGACGTTCGATGGCTGGCGCGTGGCGATGCGATTCGGAGGCTCGTGGAAGTCCTACCGGCGGCGATAGTGGTGTTGTGGGAGCAAGACAAGAAGGCCTACAAGACAGTCTCGAGTTTCAAGTTCCACTTCTTCCTGTTTTTCCTGGCAGATGTGCTGAAACTGCTCAACGAGCTGAACCTCAAGTTTCAACGGCGCATGGTGAGCAGTAGAGAGGTCCGTGCTGATGTTCATGCACTCGAACGTGTCTGACGTTGGCTTCTTGCCGTGTGCAGGTGGACATCACCCGGGTGGCATCAATGGTCCACAACACGTGCGACAAGCTGAAGCAGCGATACATCGAGCACGGCGTCAACTACGCTGAGGATAGCGAGTTGCTCACCGAGTTCATGGAGAAGCACGGAGCGTTGGACAAGCGGGAGGTGACGGTCGAAGGCATGGATGGGGAGGGAAGTCCCGTTAAACACACTTTCATGCTGCACGAGGACGCCATCAAGGGACAGAAGTCAAAAGGCGACATAGAATCATGCATCACTGTAACCCGCCTGTTTGCGCAGGAAATTGTGAAGCACCTCCTGAAGCGGATGGAGAGCCTAGACACCCTCACCGGAGCGAAGCTTTTCCTGCCTGACGCGTACCCCGAGGGAAGCGCGAAGAGAGACCGCCTCTGCCAAGCCTGGTTCCAGTCTCTCCGCACGCTGTTCAGTGCGGAGAAGTGCGTACTTCCAGGTAATCTGTGCGTCTCTGTTGTGCGTCAATGTTACACGCTTGGTGATATGGTACCGCCACTGACTTATCTCCCCGTTGGCCCCCGCCCCTCTTGTATTTGCAATTGTGCGTGAGCAGGAGTGAGCTGGAAAAAGGCGGGACGAGAACTGGTGCCGTTTACCAAGATGATGGCCTCGCAGTACAAGGACCAGACCTTCCACGCCGGCCTCAAGCACATGTTGCGCAGCGACGACTGGGAGACGAGCTACCCCAACATGGTCCGCATCTGGATCGCCCTCGCCGTGCTGCCGCTGAGCACCGTCGAGTGCGAGCGCGGCTTCTCGAGGCAAAACATCATCAAATCGTGGCTCCGCGGGAATCTGTGCAACACACGCCTGGCGGACCTGATGTCGGTATCGCTCCTGCAGTACGAGCCGAACTGGGAGGACGTGGTGGCTGCTTGGAGGGGGGCAAAGAAGAGGCGCCCTGCTAAGGAAGTGACGACCAAGAACACTCCAGAGAGAGCCCCAAAGCGGAAGGCCGAGAGAGGAACGTCAGCTGCTGCCTCCAATGGAGACGAAGATGATGAGGAGGACGTGGTCAGGCGGAGGACCTCTAAGAAGGGCAAACCACGTGCAGCTGTAGCAGTGTCGGACGACAGTGATGATGACAATGGGCTTGATGTCCGCGCCACGATAGTAGAGTCTGACACTGAGTAGACTAGACTAGAGTAGATGTAATTTGTAGTGTAATAACACCTCACCAGTAGTTACATAATTTTTTATTTGATAGTTCTTTTACCGTAGTATTTAGCTTTAACTTCTGCTAGAGTTGATGCAATGCAACCCAAAAAAAATAAAAATCAGACAAGCCAGTGCTTTAAGATCTGACAGATCAGACAGAGATTTTGGAAAATCCTGATCCACCAGACAGGGCATCACTCAGCCCACTGATGAAGCAGACGGGCCCGAAGGGCCCGTCTGCTCCATCAGGCTGCCTCAGATCCTAGCGACGTCCCTGATATGAATGAGAGGCGCGTGAGGGATGAGGTGAGGAGTCAGGAGAGGCAGGGGGGGCGGGGAGGCAGCACCTTGCCGGGGTTGAGGATGCCGTGGGGGCAGGGACGTCGCTAGGATCTGAGGCAGCCTGATGGAGCAGACGGGCCCTTCGGGCCCGTCTGCTTCATCAGTGGGCTGAGTGATGCCCTGTCTGGTGGATCAGGATTTTCCAAAATCTCTGTCTGATCTGTCAGATCTTAAAGCACTGGCTTGTCTGATTTTTATTTTTTTTGGGTTGCATTGCATCAACTCTAGCAGAAGTTAAAGCTAAATACTACGGTAAAAGAACTATCAAATAAAAAATTATGTAACTACTGGTGAGGTGTTATTACACTACAAATTACATCTACTCTAGTCTAGTCTACTCAGTGTCAGACTCTACTATCGTGGCGCGGACATCAAGCCCATTGTCATCATCACTGTCGTCCGACACTG